AACAGATATACTAATTATGTTAAATATGATATAAATGATAATAAAAATATAAATAATAAAAATATAATAAATATTATATTTGTCCTTTTTGGCAGATATGGCATATTTGGCAGATATATCATATACAATTAGTCTGTCAATTTCTGCCAGTTTTAGCGTAAAAAAATTGCAACTATAAAATAAAAATTAGTTTGAATTTGGCTAACATATAACCATTGTCATTAATCTTACAATACTGAGCGTCATCTTAAGTCCTTTTTAATAATCTTTCTTCTATCAGAAAGATTCTCTTCATCAGTTTCTGAAATTTCAGGTGAATGGTATGCAGAGTTATTCTTGATCAGTAAAATCTCTTGATCCTCAAATAATTTAAGCAATAGATCGTTAATTTCTACTAAATAGTTGATAATATTGGCCATATTTATTCGTTTCTATATATTATAGCATAATATATTGTAATAAAATAAAATATTAAATATTAAATAATTAAAAAGGAAATGATGAAATTTATTTATATTATTTTTTCAACTATTCATATGCTTTTACCTGGCATGCTCATCTTGTTTAGTCAACAGTTGTTGTTTCCTTAAATGTTCTTCATGTTTAGTTTTATGACGTTTGTGAATCATGTCATATATGATACCTTTTGAAACTGGAAACATATTCAAATCTAAAACTTCTATAACAGCTGGAACTATTTTGCTGTTAATAAGATTTCATTAAAAATCAAATGTCTGTTCCAATTTCAATTGATTATAAGTTGGCAATCTCTTAACAACCCAAAAAATTTGACGCTAAATATAAAAGAATATTGTTAGTATACAGTGAAAAGGAATAAATAAAAAATACTTACTCTTAAAGCTTCTTAGACGTCATAAGACAGGTCATTGATAAAGAGATATCTAGAATTTCTATCATGATTCTGTTAGCTACGACTCTAGGGCAGTGACTAACTTCTATCATAATCTCATTGACTGCGACTCTGAGGTGGTAATTGGCTTCTATCAAAATCCCATTGGCTGTGACTCTGGAGTAGTGACTGGCTTCTATAATGATCCTATTAGCTGCGACTTCAATGTGATAACTGGCTTCTATTATGATCCTATTGGCTGTGATTCCAAGGTGGTGACTGGCTTCTATCACAATCCCATTAGCTGTGACTCTAAGGTGGTAAGCTAAAAGAACTAAATCTGGAAATTGAGCCTAAATAACTTGATTGAATATGAGAATTTTCTGACCAGTTATCATCCAAATTAATATATTAGATTGTCCATATTGTGGAGTATTGCCTGTTTTTAGATTCATTATCTTTACTTTATTGGTAGTCTTTATTTTATCATTTAGGAATGCTTTGAACATATTTTGAATCTCACTGTCTTATAAAAATAGAACAACTTGATCTAATATATGTAAATAATATTATATGATAAAAAATACAATGTAAATATATATTCCAGTAAAAATTAAAATTACCTTCAACTCATTTTGCTTTCTCCTTCTCAAGATGTTTATATGACGAAAAACTACACAATGGCTATGAATATTATTACATAAATAAATCAAGCAAATAAGCAAATATTATAATTTTATAACTTGCCAGTTGTGTCTCTTAGAAGAATGACGTTTATCACCATTTCTATTATCTTTATTTCTTCTTCTATCGTGACAGCTATTCTGTTTTTTCTATCGAAAATGCTTGAACATCTCTTGTCGTGACTTTCATAGTTATTATATATATGTCTCGTATTATAACTACTTCTTGAATAAGATCTGTTTCTATTGCATTCAAAATGAGGAGAGGTATTTCTTTCTCTAGTTCTGCCATAAGCATCACGATCCATAATATAGTAGGGAGAGAGTTTCTTTTTAAGTCGTTCAAAAATATTATTCTTTTATATTACTAAAAAAGTATGCTAAAAGTATATTATAAAATAGTATATATACTATTAATATATCTTTGACACTGAATAAACTTTGTATTACTACAACCAGCACGCATTATTTCATTTCCTGATCTTTCATAATTTTAAAACTGTCTCATATCTTTTTAAGAAAATAAATTGATTAACAACGTCAATACCTAAAAGAACTACAAAAGTTCAACCCAAAGTGCTGTGTTATTGTAAAGTATGTAATGGTAAACTTGTTGATATAAGAACTAGGAAAAACCATAAAAATGAAGAGATTTAACTTTAAAATTCAGTCAACAAATGGATTAGCAAAGGTAAAAAAAAGAGAAATCAGCATTAACTTATCTTCCTAATTTTAGAAATCGTCTCAGACCTGAAATTAGTGAAAATATTCTTGTGAAGATAATGCTATAATGATAGATAATGATCACAACTGATCCAATGGAGAGGTTTTTATTAGAAAGCCTATTTGTGTTAAAAGGAAATGAGAAGATATAATTATTTTTATAATACTAGTAATAATATCACTATTCTAGATGAAGTATTCAGGCAACATGTTTATTCAACTAGTAATGAAGAAGGTTTATTCGATGACGAGAAAGGCTTTTTACCATCTGATGACCTAGATGATGATGAACGAGATTTAGAAGATTTCGAATTACTCTTAAGTGATAATAAATTATTTACAGCTCCTGACTTTATTAATATTAATGATTCAGATCAGAATAATAATATAAATATAAATGATTTATAGATACTTCTCTAGATCTTCAAATATTAAGAAAGATTCAGATACTCTGATATTGTAATCAATTCATTAATCAGTTTCTTTAGCCTTGTTTTGAAAAATATTAATTCGAACTAGTTTAAAGAATTCCTATCAACTGCATATATGGCTAGGAAAATATTAGACATTAAAAAAAACTCAAAGTTCTTTGCTACTTGTACTGATTGCAACAAACTTTACAATCCAACAGACATAATTCCAGATGATAATACAAGATTAGGATTTAAATGCATTCATATCAAATTTCTGAACCACCCAATGTGAAGCTAGCATAAATCCTGTGATTTAAAATTGCTCGTGAAGGTTTCAATAAATAATGGTTACAAATGGCGTCTGAAAATTATATACCTATTACCATGTTTAAAGACCTAATTAGCCGTAATGTATAAATGACCAGAATTAGAAGAACTTTTAAAAAAATAGGTTAATTGAGATGTTATAACTGACATTATATCAGATATTTATGATGGTAAAATTTGGAAGTCCTTTCCATTATACCAAAATGACCAAACATCCTAATTTTTTACACTCGAGATCGCAAATACTAATTTTGGAATAATGATTAACCTCGACTAGTTCTAACCTTTTGAATTATCAGTATACAGTTATGGCATGATATACAGCATCATTGTAATCTTCCTCAAGACCTAAGATTTAAAAAAGAAAATATAATAACGCTTAGCCTTCTACCAGGACCAGATGAGGTCAAATTACACAAAATTAATCATTACTTAGTTCCAATAATAGACAAGTTGCTGGAGTTTTAGGATAGTATCAATTTATCAACTACTAATGATTATTCCACTAGTATGAATATCAGAATGATCGTAATTTGTTACAGTAATGATATACCAGCTGCCAGAAAATTATGTGACCATATATCTGCATTAGTTAGATGCTATAGGTGTTACAAGAGGACAAATGGTGAAGAAAGGCAAAAGCTGAACTTTGAGAATTCAACAATATCGATAAGTGACACAAAATAAAAGATGTTTCAGAATATCGCTATAATGTAATGATCTGAAAGCTTTAACAGACGAAAAAAAATCAGAAAAAACACATAAGTCAAACTCACGTTTAGTGGTCAGAGATGCTCTGCTTGCTATACTTTGATCCAATCAGATTCCTGGTAATAGACTGATACATAACTTATTTTTAGGAATAGCATATTTGATCGTAAAAAGATTATGAATAGAAGGTGAAAAAATTACAAAATCAGACCTTGAGTTAATAGAAAAAAGAACAAGTAAAATTAAAGTTCCTTCTAATATTGGCTGAATTCCCTACAAGATTGCTACTGGAGAGGGTTTTCTAATTATACTGCCGACCAATGAAATCATTTATAATGATATATGTAATCCAAATTATGTAGGATCTTATAGATGAAGATGATAGAGAAATTTTAGCAAATTTCGTTAGAGCATACTTCTTATTAGTATCATGCATTATTGATAAAAATATATTAGATGAAGTGCTTGTCTTATTGTTATTTGTTGTCAAATCAATCGAAAAAAACTACAGACCAGAATTTATCACTCTAAACATTCATTTCTCTCTCTATCTTACTGAATGTTGTATGGATTATAATCTAATATATTCATTTTGGTATTATTCATTCAAAAGAATGAACAGTATTTTAGGTAAGTTGTATACCAATTATTATCAAAACTTTAATATTATATAAACTGATTGTATTTTTAGATTTCCTTCCAAATAGTCATTATCAGATTGAACTGGAATTACTATGAATTATCATGCAGAATTAGCGGCTCAATGATCTTTATCTTTCTAATCAAACAATAAGATACTTATTGAAGGTCTAGAGTTAATAAAGCTAAAGATAATTTTAGGAAGCTTGGCAGCTTACGATAATTTCAAAATTTAATAAACTTTGGCGTTTTAAGCAGATCTACCAGCTTGAAGTTGAAAATACAGCTATGGGTGCTAAGCTTTTCCCAGAGAGATGCTTACTTCTAAAAAAATTAATGTTAGTTTACCAGACAATGTATACAATATTTTAATAGCCTATTATAATAATGCTTATGATATAGAATTTTTATCGATTGTAAATTTAGTTAATACTAGAAGTTCTGGTCATAGGATTGTTGTCCGTTCTCAAGTAAATCAGTTCAAATATATTCAAATTAGAGCTGAGATCTTTGGATCAGCTAATGCGTCTCAACATTTAAAGAATTCATTTATTCTTGTTAAATTCGTGCAAGAAAACGGTTCAGTTGATGTATATCTAAGATAAATCCAGTACTTTATTGAATATGAAGTTAACCTTTTAGATAGAAGGCAAAATCATGAACTAGCCTTTATTAAATGGTACAAGTCAGCACCAAGTCATCATATAAGATTCTACTTCCAGATTAACGATGATATTCAGATCTGTAACATAGAAATTTGGTCAAAAGGTTTTTATAATATTAGTAGGGATTGTATTATACTAGTTTATAATATACTTAGTCAATTTATACTAAGTGAATATAAAATAGGTAAAAGGAATCCAGTTGCATATATGGCTGTTATTCCAATCGCAAGAAAATTCAATATGTAATAATAGTCATATATAATATATTATTTAATTTCATTAAATTAGTGATTTATTAATTTTATTAAGTTGATATTCTCCATTCAGCATATATACAAATTATCACAAATATATAAATAAATACTAATCAGGAAATTTCTATATTAAGAATAAACATCATTTGAAAGCCAGTTTTTCTTATTTTTATATATTAGACTTTAAATAATGAATAAACTCTAACCGGTAGTTTAATATGTAACTGTCATACAAGTAAACACTGATATGAAACTTCAATATTAACATTAAATATCAATCAACAATTTTCTGATTGTATCCAATTTATGATGATATCTAGGTTGTTTTTTATTTAACCATTTGAAGATTTCAGATTAGCCAATATATACCAATCAGTACAATTTCCAGTTGAACATCTTTCAACTTGTGCTGGCTCGTAATTGGATAGTTGTCATCCAAGTTTTTTGTAAGATTGGCCAAGCTATTATTCATAAACTGCTGGCTATCAATATACTTGAGCTATCCTACTTTCATGAACTTATATCGCTCAAATGTTTCAGCTATAACTTTTATCTGATACGTATTAACTGAGCATCCAACAGATTCACAGACTAGATGAGAATTATAGCCCCAAAAGTTATGAAATATGACTGGGATTGGGGTCTTCTATAGCTCAATTTGAAGTTTGAGATTGCAATCTCTATATGCTGACCTTTGAAACTTACCTGTAATGTGACAGTGATTCCAGACCTTATCAGTTTTAGCTTTTTCACTAGCAATTGCCTTAGTTACTTTTTTAATGGTTGTTTAGATACTATTATATTTAGCTGACTTTTTATCAATTTTTTCTAGACTCTTTTTAAGACTAACTATTTTGCTTTTTAATTGCTTAATTTCCTTTATATTTATATCAAACTTACCTTTACAAATCCAACAGGTAACTGATTCAGCAAATCTTTTCTTGTCTTCTTCAGTCTCAATTCGCTCATGCTTGATAGTTAAGACCTCATTGATTTTGACCAATTTCTGATTGATTCTTTAAATAAATTTTTGAATAATATTTTCACTTTAGTATAAAAAAGGACTTCATACATCTTCAGTATCGATCCAGTGGATAAAATAGCAAAAACTATTAGCCTTCTATTCAGCAATATTACGCATTTGTCCACTATAATATTTAAATAGTTTCATTATCCCTCTTGAGTAATACCACTTCACGTTATTAGCCTCAAAGTCCGCTATAATTACATATGAAAAATTGATCATTCGACCATAGTTCTTGAATAGCTCAAAATCATTGACTCCTTTTACTAGTAGATTAATTCTTTGGGTAGCCTCTTCTAACCTGAAACAATATTCTCAATTATGATCTAAAGATTTTTCTGAAGAAAAACTAAATGTATAATGTTTGTAAAGATGCCTCTTTTCTTTATATACAGTATCTCTAGATACTAATCTGTTAATATTTTTGATCCATAGAAAGTGATTCTTTTGCCCATATTTATCTATATTCTCTGATTTGATAATATCTATAAGGGCTAAGAGATCAATTATATATAGTCTTTTGTAATTTTACTAGCAATTACTGTCTTTGGAGTAGCTGTTTTTCATTCCATTTTCAGACATTGATGGAGATATCTGGATTCATCTTCTCTATCTTATTAAATATATGTGAACAAATTGAAGTAGGCATTAGGATTCCATTTAGCTTAACAACGTCTAAATATTTTTGAAGACTTTTTGCTCTAATAATACGTCTACTAAGATGGTTTGTAATTCTATCCTGATCAATAAAATAACATCCTAATGCACTTTGAAGACATTTTTCAGATAATGCATATGTTTCTGAGTTGATGAGATCTTTATTATTCAGATTGATAATACACTTTATATTGACAAGCCTTTTAGGTGTGGGTTTATAGGATCTTCCAGTAGCTTTATGTATAAGATTCTATTAATATTATTTCTAGTCAAAAAAGAATTTTACCAGACTCTTTCTTCAAGTATTTTTCGATCTTTTCATAAATTTCTTTGGTAGAGCTGGTTATATGTTCATCTATATCATTTTCTGAGAAAAATATATATTGCTTTCCCCTATAATATGGATAGTGATAGGTAATTTTATAGTTTCTTTTGTCCATTATATTACCACTTCCAAGATATTTGTATTTCATATATGTAGCATATATGACTATTGCTGATTTTATTTGATCCTTTCTTCAAAGCTTCTCTTTAAGAATGTTTGTAATCTGTTTATGAGCTGATGCAATCAGCTGGGGCATGTATAGAGCATCTGCATATTTTTTCATTATCTTGACATGTATTAAAAGCATATGCTGAATTTTTGATAGATGGAATAATAGCTTTTCACGTAGTTTGGTGTCTTAAAAAAGAGTGGGATCTAGCTAAATTATAGATTCTTTTTAGGAATTTTATTTCATCATGAAGTGGCTCAATTATTACTTCTTTTACTTCATATGCCTCTGTATTATACTGTATGTTTCTTCTTTTTATGATAAATCAATTGAAAATGATTCCCAGAAGCGTATTCCTTTTGCATTTCATATTTTTGCTTTTCAGACAAAGGTAGGTTTTCTATCTTTTCTAATCTATTTTTTCTTCTTCCTACTCAATCTCAGATAATGTTAGAAGTCTAGCTTCTTCAGGATCATGGTGTTCTTTATTCCACTTTTCAGCCTCTTTGTTAGTAATAAATTGCTTACCATACCTTGAAAATATAGTTTTAAACTGCTCTGTATTTATACGAGATGGGAGCTTTCATTGCTTTTCTTCTCTATGTGTTTGGGTAGCTAGATCGGGATCTGCTTCTTCCACTAGTTTTTCAATCTATGTGATGAAAGGTTGCATTACCACTGAAGCTGTGATCTGTGACTGCGTTAAAATAAAGTCATGTGATCTAAATGATCGACATAGTTAATGAAGTTGACGAAGTTGACAGAGTTGCTAAAGTTGTCAATGTTGATCAAGTGAACATATTAGATATATAGATTATATTTATTATATTTATTAATTATATCTTATTTATTATATATATTATATTTATTATAGTTATATTATTTGTTCTCTTTATTAT